ACAATGCTGTAACAAACCTGGGACTGGAACAACTAGTAACCAACAATACTAGACTTAACAACTGCCTCGGCCTTATCTTCTGCAATAGTTTGAATTCAATTTATGGAATACAAATTAAAGAACCCTTTTCCAACAGTGACCACAACATGATTGACTTTTGTCTCAACCTACGTCCACACAAAAATCAACACAACAATGGGATCCTCAATTATAATTTCAAAAAAGGCAACTATGACCTTATAGACAACGATCTCTCATCCCTTGATTGGCAATTTCTATTCACTGGATGTAATACTGTTGAAGACCATTACAACATATTTTTACTTGAAGTCAAAAGAGTAATCAAACTATATGTACCAATAACAATTCCCAAAACCAGAAAAAACAGATTACCCACAACAATAAGAAAGCTTCAGTCCAAAAAGAGATCACTTTGGCGGAAAAACAAATCTGGCCACATTGCCAACTTCAAAAGCCGATACAAAAATTTATGCCACCAGATAAAAACTGAATGCATCAATTATCACATTAAACAAGAGGAAAACCTTCTACGCACCAATTCCATGCACACTTTCTACAATTTTATAACCACAAACTAAAAGACTAAAGGTCCATCACACCCTGAAAGGACCTAATGGTAAAGACTGCAATGACGACACTATTAAAGCCAACCTCTTTAACACATTCTTTGGCTCAGTATTTGTAAACAGCAATGGATCATGCCCAGTATTTCTTAGTCGAACCACAGACAACTAAATGATCTAATACATATCAATTTTACAGAAGACAATGTTGAAAAGCACTATGCAGTCTAAAACCATCTCTATTGGACCAGACGGAATATGTATCCATGTATTCATAACTATGCTTTTTACTTATACCTATTATCTTGTAAGCAGTTGATAAACCAAATAAAATAAAATAATAAAAAAAGAAGAATGCTATTATGTCTAACTGCTAACACTCTAAAAATCCCCACTCCTAATTTCCCAGGCACAGGAATGTGGCAGCATGGAAGTTTCTGGTGTTAATATGGCTTCTAAAGCTGATACAGATCACCAAAACATAGTTAGACGAGTATGTATGAATGTAGTGCATATTTTAGCTGTGGCAGTGGACAATTATAATTGTGGGGTCTTTGGTGCTTTCTGAGTTTTGTGGTTTTCTTGTAGATGTTTCAGTACCAAACTAGATCAGTGCAATTATAATTAACTATTATAATTAAATAATATAGACATGTTCTTCATGAAGATGCTTTGAAACTAATTATAATGCTGTTTATCAAAATTAATCCAGCTGATAAACATTGATTCTTTATTGGGTTTTGTGTAATTCACAAATAATAAGGATTTGGTGTCTATTCAGAGTACCAAAATTGGAATTTGGAAATTTCCAGAACTCAGGGATTTTTGGCAGACACTTTGCCTTTCCTGCATAGCATGCATACTTGTTTGTGCATCTTCCAGTAATCTGTTTTTCTTTGGGTAGCACAACAAAGAACTTTGGTTTTCTAAAGCAGTTCAACCTGTGGTTTTTGGACCTCTGTGGGAGGGCACAATGTTGTCACAGAGGGTCCCTGAGGGCTTGAAGAAATGTTATGATTTAAATCTTGAGTCTACTTCTTTTCTCATCTATACCAGTGGAATTTAAGGTTTTCTTCTACAAGTACAATGCTATAGAAGCAAACGTATGCCTCATGGATGTATGCATAAAAAGGCCTCCATACTTGTTCATTGTGCCTTAAGAGTGACTGGGGAATAGACTCTGAAGATTGCAGACTCTGATGCATATTTATCTCTATCTGCTTTAATTTTAATATTTCCTACTGATCCTGCCTTAAATGGTTGTTGAAAATTGAGGGGTCCTTAGTGCTTTCTGAAGTTGTTTGTTTCTTGCCCAAGCTGTTGTTTTATTACCCCAAACTAGGTAATATCATCAGTGCTCCTGCCGGTGCAACCTGTTGAAAATTCTCAGATCTGTCTGTTTGGAAGATGTCAAATCTATTTGGAATCAGTTCTCAAACCTTATATGAAAGTACTGCATATACCTAAATCAAATATATACATATATGTACATGGAATTCAACAACATACAATATAAAATCTGAATGGTAATAATAAATTCTGCTCATGTAATGACTTTTATATTCACCACACTTATGAAACCGCAAAGTTTTTTTAAAATGAAGCTTATCCCATGTTTTGCAGCAGTGTTCTGTTTTATTATGCTTCTTATAACAAAACATGAAAGGTGAAATATGTAGTTCCAAGAAACAAAAACGTAGTTAGAAATTTAAATTCAAATCATGCAAATGTTAGCTGAGCAATGAGTGGCCTAAATGTAAAAAAATTGAAATGAGTTCAAGCTGCAATAATCCAGGCTGTAATAATAGATGCAGAAAGCATAGCCATTTAAAATGTGCATAATAGTGCCTGGATGTATTACATGCATACAAGAATATGTATAATAGCAATAGCATTTAGCCTTATATACCACCCCAGCATTTTCTGAGCAATTTACAGTGCAAGCATTATTTGCATATTTCCCCAACAATCTGGCTCCTCATTTTACCAACCATGGTGGCACAGCCTTCCTTACCCTGGAAGTAAGGAAGGATAAGTGAACCTTGAGCCCCATCAAACTCCAGGCTGTGGACAGAGGTTGCCTGTAATACTGTGATTTAACCACTGCACCACCTGGGCTCCTAGTTCTGTGCATAATGCCGAAGACTTCATGTTGTTTATCAGAGATTAAATTAGCCATAACCTTTGCACTGAGCTTTAAGAATTAACCTCAATTGATATAGAAATATAGCCGTAGTCCATTTACAAAGAAAAATATTTCTTATCTTGAATTTTTATTAAAAAATTAAAATACAAAACTCCTCCCTAAAAAGGTTTTTTACAGAAATGAACAAAAAAACAAAACGACATTAAAAAGTACATTAAAAAAGGACACAAACACATATACACATATTATTTCCACTAGTTTAACACTGATTAAATATAATTCAACAACATTAGTTTTCCACGCCCTGCCAAACAGGCCCAAAACTTTTAAACTTCTAACTTCATTTGAAAATTATTAACCTGTCATCTTTCTGTTAAACTAATAACAACAATAACAGAAAGGATAACAAAAAAGATTAAAATTTCAAAACCCTCTGTTAACAATATATTTTTGTATTTAATTTATATAAAGTTTATCATAGCTTCTTATTTATCCCAAAGTATTCCAGCTGTTAACTCTTATTTGTCCTGGATCAAATATCCTTATTTTCTTCTAAATAATATCTCTTATCAATTGGTTAAATGTAATAAATCAATTCTCCAAAATCAATCTATCTTCCAAAAGAGTCCAGATGAAATTGTTTTCCAGTTTAATATAATAAATCCATTCCCTAATCTCCTTCAGTCTTCTTAAGGAAGACAAATTTATCACTTATCCATTCAGTCAGTTCTAAGTTTGTAAGGTCCATATTTCTTTCAGTGTTCTCCACCGAATTTGCCAATTTCAAACCAAGTTCCTTTTGTAAATCTGGTTTAACTGCAGTTACTTGCATCTGGGCATTCTTTGTAGCATTGTTATCTTGTCAAATTTTAAAAAAGTTTTCAAATTGGGTTTGTATGCTAAAAAGCAGTCTTTTTGCAAATGCCAGCCCCAGTGTCTTGTCTGTAAATGGATACATTATTTGCTCTCTTGTAATTTAGCAACCCAAGATAAGAAAGCTCTTCAAGGACAGAGAACAAAGAATGCTGAAGTGATATTCTTTACAGTAAAAATGTATAGAGAAACAGGGAGGATATTTTTTTTTGATATTTCAATCCAAAATAAGAATTATTTTTAAAAATAAGCTCCAAATTAATTGCAAATTAATAAAATGCAAAATCCCTATAGTGAAAGTTCAATATAAATGTAAATCAAGTCAAAACACTTTCACTCCCCAAGAACATGACATAACTTCCTTACGGAAAAGGAATAGTTATTCAAAACAGCAAAATAGATCCAAAAAAAGAGACAAGAGAAAACAGATAAAGTCTAGCAGGTGATTAAAAGTCAGCATTCAACCAGTCGATTAACTTTTAGAGATAAAAAGCAAAGTAAAATAGAAACTTCAAGTAGTTAAAACCCAGTCTTGCTTAAAAAAATGATCAGCCAAGAGGAAAAGATGGATCACCTGGCTTCCCGGCCTCTCTTATTGGGAATTGCAATCCTCAGGATTCCTCTTTCCAGGCGGCTTCATGGTTATCCAAAAGTCTCCTTTGGTCATTCCTAAGTGCTTCTTGAAATCCAGGGAGCAGCACAGCCAAACAGCCAACTTTGGCAGCAAAATCAGCAGATCATTGGCAGGAGAGAAAAATCCTCTTCCTGTTCAGCAAGCATCTTGTGGGAGGGTCCTGTAAGGAAAATCTTGATTTGGTAAAAGAGCAATTACTGTTTTTCCACCTGCATTCTTGTGCTGATGACAACCTGATTAAGCCCAAATGATGTTGCCTCCTGCTTAGTTAAGATAAAGCATATGATATTAAAATCTACCTAAGTTGCGTGTAAAATTTTGCCAGTGAAACTTAATGAAAGTCAAAACATAAAGTTATCCATGCTGGATCAAATATAAAATGCAGAACAGAAATACAATATTCATGTATACAGTTAAGTTCAACCTAATATGGACAGTATTGTGGGTAACTTTTGAAGAAACTTAGGTAATTTATCAATAGGTAATGGTCAAGAAAACACAAAAGACTATCTGTCAAAGCCTTATGGTATCAGGTAGCATATTGCAGCATTATATATGGAATATTATAATGAACTTGTTACAATATGTAAAACAGTAATCATTTCATCATACGTACTTACATCATGAGAAACAGCAGCGATGATCAATATTCTAAAAGAGCATATGTAGGCTTTATATTATGCAGTTCTATGAGCTTAATGTTAATGGGGAATGATTTTCCTGCACTAATTTCCTTCTTCCCATTCCTCCTGGTCTTTTCTAGGCAGGACAGGGATGCTTGCTGGTCTCTTACCCAGTTTTGCTGTGGATATTATGTCAGGTACTCTTCCATCTAACACTTTCTGTTCTTCTGTTTTCTACTGTACCTTGTTTTGTGAATGTATTTCTTACTTTTACTTGTAGTCTCAGTTCCTTATCTCTTCAATAACTTTTTGCAATTTATAGAGAGTAGGTGGGAGTAGTAAGGTTTTAACAGATCAAGATGAGATGTAAAAAGAGTGTTTTATTGATATTTTAAATTAGATTTATATCTTGCCTTCCCTTCCAATGACTCAGAGGCTAGGATTGTGTAAGTGAATATGGATACTTCATGAGAAGTATGTTTATATTCTAATTACTATTTGAAGTATATAAACTTTCTTCCAATTATTAGTATAATTGATTCAGGCAAATATTAAGATCAGGGTTCAGTGAATTTGAAATGCTGTGTGCATGTCAACCCCAAGCCTCATTTTATAGGTTACTATTATTGTTTAACACCATGTTCATTAAGGAAGCTTACATTATTTAGAGATCAAATTTACTGTATTCTTAAAACAATCTTCCCATTTAAACCATAAAAAAGAGAAATTATTTTCATGAGTGTGTTGCAAGGGTCTACTTTCTTTGCGTCATCATCTTTCCTGCTTTTGGCCCTCCTGCTAAAAATAAAATAAAATCCTGGCAGTATAAAATCTGGCCATTCTTTATCTCATACCATATTCAGAGCAGATTTCACCAATACGTTTTATTGAGATGTATCGATTTTCATTCCCAACAAGAATGCCTGGGTTCATTTGATTTGAATACCAACATTTATGGACAACACCATATTAGGGAATTTTGATTCCATTACTATCCTTTTATACCTAGCCTACTGTAATTTAATTACATTTTTCTTAGATGCTGATACCCGTTTACAACAATTGGATGTATATATTCTAGTGTAAACATAAATTAGGAAAGAATTGTTAAATTGTTTCCTGGTCTTTTGGATAAGATTAAATGTACTTAAAAAATCTAATAGTTCTTTTTCAACACTACAGGCTTCTTCATAAATTCAATAAAGTCATATTTTTATTTACATAAAATAGTCATCATTTTAGCTTGTATTCAAATTAAAGATAGCTTCATTTCTATTGATATTTAGAAAGACCACAAAGCTATATTTCATTTGTTGAGGTGCCAAACAATAAAAGAATAGCTGGTCTGGGAATGGCTATTTTCAAGATTAATTATTGATAGAAGAGAATATTTGTAGCTCTGAGTTGAATTGTGGGGTCCTTGGTGTTCTCTGAACTTGATAGTTTTCTTGCAATTGTTTCATTACCTAGTAACTGATAATGTTACCTAGTTTGGTGATAATGTTACCTAGTTTGGTAATGAAACAACTGCAAAGATATCACCAAGATATCAGAGAGTATCCAGACTGTACAAATTGATTATTGCTGTAAGATATTTTTTATTATGAGTGTTTATGTTATGGTAACTTTATGATATTTGAATTATTGCACATTATAGTTCCACTGTTTTTATTATGTCATAATTAATTATTTTATTCATTATTTCATAGCTTAATCATATATCAAAATGATCCCATACTTTAACGTCAGTTATTTTCTAGATGGAAATCCTCATCTCTCTCCATGCCCAATTTTTCTGGCTGTTCATTAAGCTAACAAATTCAAATTTTGACTAGCAGAACAAGTACCCATTTGAAATGAGCAAAAAGAGGATTTTGAGCTTTTCATTTCATACACGTGTGTCATTATATTGCCATTTTCCTTGATTATACACAATATATTACTCCTTATACACCCTCTCAGGAAACACTACTTCCTCTGTCTTAAATAGCCCTAGGACTGAGATTCATGGGTCTAGTTTTAATTTAAACCGGTTTTATCAAATAAGTATCATGAGCTAAAGATTAGCATTTGTTTTCAGCCTATGTATTGTGCAATTCATTTAATATTTGTATTTCATTGATCAATTAATCAGTTATTGGTAGACACCTCCAACTTTTCATTCATGTATCTTCTTTTTGTTTACAGAATGGATGTTTGTAGGCTTGGTGATCCTGGGGTTTTTCCTTTTCTTTCTCCTAGTTGGCATTTGCTGGTGCCAATGCTGTCCTCATAACTGCTGCTGTTACATTCGGTGCCCTTGCTGTCCAGATACCTGCTGCTGTCCACGAGCATGTGAGTGACTGTTTACAATGTGAATCAAGGTGTAAGCAAATCTTTCATCAAGATATATTGTCTGTTTGGTATATTTCATTATATAAAGAAAATTTATGGGCTAAGAGCTGTGGTGGACCAGGGGTTAGAATACAGTAATGCAGGGTATTTCTGCTGACTGCCAGCAGTTGGCAGTTCGATTTTCACCGGCTCAAGGTTGACTCAGCCTTCCATCTTCCCGAGGTCAGTAAAATGAGGACCCAGATTGTTGGGAGCAAGATGCTGATTCTGTAAACTGCTTAGCGGGGGCTGTAAAGCACTGTGAAGTGATATATAAGTCTAAGCACAGTTGCTAATCATGGGCTTGAAAGCTATAGTTAGGATACATACAGTAGAAAAATCAATATTAAAAAGGTAAAATTTAAATTATCTGGCCTTTCAAAGGACTAAATTTCATATCAATGTTGTTACCTATGGGATAGCAGCAAGATATTCCCAGTCTAGGTGAAACCACTGTAACTACTGGATGTTGAATAAAGTTGGACTACTCTGTTTTATGACATTTTAAAACACTGTTCTTCAACCTCAGTAACTTTAAGATGAAAGCCTATGCATCTTAAAATTTCTGAGATTGGGAAACATTGCGAGAGATTCCTTTCTGGTACCAGGAACCTGTTTTGTGGAAAACAGTTTTTCCATGGATGGGTGGTGGTGGGATGGTGGTGGAAGGGGGGATGGTTTTGCATGTAAGCTAGATCTTTCAGACGAAGCTTCATTTGCTTGCTCATTGCTTGCATGGCCTGGTTCCTTACAGACCATGGACCGGTACCGGTCTGTAGCCGAGGGGTTGGGGACCCCTGCTTTAGAACATTTTAAAAACATATCTATTGGTATAACTTCCTTTGGCCTTTTGTATAAACAAGTTACTGTTTTGTTTTTTATTTAACTTGTTGTATAGCTGACTATCAAAGTTTACAATTTATTTGTACTGCTAGTGTAGGATAATGTACCTAATTGTGAGGGGTTTTTTTGCTAGCACATCCAGATTTTGTCAGTCTTCTTATCTGCAATTCTACAAGTTTTCTCAAGAGTTCATCTTAAAGTATTGAGATCTTTGGAATTAATATGGAGAATGGCACAGACAATTTGCAGGTTTCTCCAGTTTCAATTAGCAGGTATATTAACAGCTAGCACAAAGCCACTATTGGGTGTGAGTTTGCAATGTTAACTTTTAAAAGTGTTATTTTTTTAAAGCAGCTGTTTAATTTTTGATGATTTGAATGTTTTCATAACATTTCAGCGGCTTCAATCAACAGTGGTAGCTAGATGAGATTTAAATTCATCTGTAAATTCAGTTAGTTAAAAAGAACTGGATTATTGTACTGGAGAAGATAGGTATGCCTCTAAATTCTCGATGACAGCATGTATAAAATGGCACTCATCTTTCTGAATCAAAATGACTATATGGTGAGAAAGAACATTCACATGATTTCTTTGTGCACATTTTTGTTTGTATTAGTCCTACTTTGTTACCATATCTGTTCAACAAGTTGTTCTTTTATACTAACTTGAAGCTATCAATGGTAGTAAAAGTAAACTGCTATGAGATTAAGGGAAGAATCATTGAGTTGGAAATAGCAAATGAGGTGACTGAGTTCAGGCCTCTGCTCAGCAAGGGAGTGGCTGGTTATATTTTTTCAAATTCCATTTATATCCTGGACTTGTCTTTTCAGTTCTTCAAATTTTGTTGTAAGATACTGAAAATTTGTGCTCAAATTTGTACAGATAACCAGTTCAAAAACCGAATTTTCCTGTGGCACTAATATGTAAAGTATGTTCTGGAATATCTTCCAGAGAGATTGCTTCTTTAAAACGAGTTCACTAAATGTCCATTATAATGCTTAATCCCTCATATCCTGGTTTCCAGGATTGAGGAAAAACTAGTCTTTTGACTTGTGCTCAGCTAATGATTTTAGGTTTTCTATTTCCATTTCCAATATAGCCTTCAGTCCTGAGAATCCTCATGGTCTCCAATTCAAATAGTGATCAAATCCAATCCTTCAATCAGACAAGATTGACTAAGTGTCATTTGCTAGCTAAACAAGAAAAGGACAGCTGCTGATTGATACATTTGTTTGCTAATCTTTTTTCAGTGTATGAAGCAGGAAAAGCTGCAAAAGCTGGATATCCTCCGGCAGTCACATCAATCCCAGGTCCATACTGTATCCCTACTGTTTTGGGTAGTGGCGTCCCATCTCATGCTGTCCTTGTAGAGAAGTCACATCTACCTCCCTTGGCACCAAGTGAATCTGTTGCAGGAACACAAAGTGGTAATCTCTCTCTCTCTCTCTCTCCCTCCCCCTCCCTCCCTTCCTCCCTCTCTCTCTCTCTCCCCCTCCCCTCCTCTCCTCTCTCCCTCCCTCCTTCCCCCCCCCTCTCCCCCTCCCCTCCCCTCCCCTCCTCTCTCCCTCCCTCCGTCTCCCTCCTTCTCTCTTTAATATGTTGGTATGCCATTTCATTTCTGGAATGTTAAAATAATAAAATTTAAAAGACAATCAGTTATAATTCAATCAATTGGATGCACTACTATTTAGAAAGCATAGAATTTCCTTATCCTGTTTAATATACTCAATTGACTAATCAATAAAGTTATCTTAGTATTGTCTCTAAATGTCAAATGAAGAGCTATGTTTTATGACTGTCTAAAAATGAATTTAGGAGTAATTGTGGCAGATAACTGGTTGGGAATGTTTCTATTTCTAAAGGAATAGGAAAATCATGAAGAATATTGGGGTCAGTGAAGATTACATTCCATTGATGCTGGGATTCCCAGCAAGCTCTCTCTGTCAGATGTTACTGAATGGACAGATGAAATTCAGAGAAAGCTAGGGTAAAGAGAGACAGGTTAAATTGACCCAGGTAGGGCTTTAAAGGTGACAAACAGCACTTTGAAGTGGATTTGGAAACCCCTCCATTATCAGTAGCTAGTGAAGGTTTATTATTTAATAAAATATATTTCTAAATACTAAAAAACTCCTAGGACAGTTATACATCGTAGGACAATGACCTCCTAATGGAATATTAGATATTTGTGTCCTAGAAAGGCTACCTTTACTAATTACTTACTTCTCTATGCAGTGCACAAGGGTTACCGAATACAAACTGACAAAGACAGAGATTCAATGAAGGTGCTATACTATGTTGAGAAAGAATTGGCTCAGTTTGACCCAGCCAGAAGGATGCGAGAAAGATGTGAGAAACAATTTTATCAACTATTTCAAACTAATGCCGTCCTTTCTTGAATTTAAAATATTATGGAATTTTAACATAGACTTCCTTCTGCCATGTTTACCACCATATCCTATCCTTTATGTAATTCTGGTTCCAGATGTTTTTAGCAATTTATACTGCTCCCTCCCAAATAGTGTGCTAATTTTAAAAAATCCTTAGGAAAAAATTTCTGGACGCTTGATAAATCTGTTAATCATGTAAATTAAGTTACATAAACATGTTATCTGGTTCATATATTGCAGTTGGAAGGAGGTTGAAACTTCATGTGACTTTTTCAATAGGTACAAAAATATTCAATTAAATGAGTCCCTGCATGTTATGCTGTTATAAAATACTTCAATGAGAATCAAAGATTAGAACTGCCTATTTCCTCTATTGCTTAGCTATCAAATATATGGCTTACTTTTTAAAATAGTTTAAATGTTGTTTGTCATAAACTATTAATATATAATATAATCCACTCTTAAACCAATTTTCTATAAACCAGATTTTAAAAAGATTTAACAAGTAGTTTAGGAAGAAGATAAATAAGCTGTATTACCATTTCCATCCAATAATTTTCACTGTGAATAACTGAGTCATTCATTGAAGTGTTTTTTTTCTAAAGAATATTATAGCAGGTGCATGTCCACAAATTGCTACCCACGGATACTTTATCTCATATCTATCTGTACATAGCAATCATTTCAAGTGAAACTAAATAGTAACCCAAGTCATTGACTCATTTAAACCTCTCAGATTTGATGAATACAGGGGTTTTTATGTAAAAAATAATAATTGCTACTGTCTATTTTTAGCATACACATTCAATAGACTCATTTTATAATAGCCAGTACATTCTAGCAGTCTCAGACATGCAGGCTGCCTCAATCAATTGATAGGCAGACTGAAGGAATGACTTTAAACACAGTTCTGAGAAAAAACTAGCAAATTACATGGTGTTCTACAACAGTCATCACTGAACATGCTGCCATTTCCACCCACTAAGAATACTATAAAAAGGTTCCCTCCAGATTGGAATGCCTAGGATCCAAATGTCATTGCATGCAGAGGGATAAGCAATGGGGGTGATGGGTGGGAAATATCAAATCATTGTGAAAAGCTACATAGTTAATTCCACAGAGCTGATCTATCTACCATTCCAGAAAAAGTATTACTGAGATCCCATATTTCTGACACCATAGAAATAATGCATATGAAAATGTTTATAATATAAATGTCACATTGGTTTTATATGTTCCATAAGCAGACTTCACTATAAAAGCACCACTTTTTAATATGTAGTCTCAATGGGATTTTTTTCTAAACTTGATCGCCCCTGATCGGAAGGGTTGCAGCTGCCAGCACGCAAGTGACAGAAGAGAATCTTAATAGCCCAAGACTCCTTCATAGGGAATAAATAGTAATCTCACCCAGCACCGAAGATTTTTTCAGTTCCTAGACCTTCAATCTACAGTGTTTCCATCTGTTGAATTCAGCTTCTGCTTATTGATCCAATTCCAGGCAAAAGTAATCTACAAAAAAACTGTACTAGTGAGAGCTATAGACATAATCAGTATACAGGTGGTACTCAACTCCAAATCTACTGATGACAGTACAAATGAATTAATATAGATATTAAACAAGAGTGATAAAATGGATCTGGAGCCAGGAGCTCTGAAGTCCTTTAATCTTTTCTGGTGTAGGGACCGAGCCATTGAAAAATAATGCCTTCAACTTCATCTGTAGTTGGCAAAATACTAAGATTAAATCCAGGAGAGAATAGAAAGTTGCACTTATCCAGTCTTATCCATTGAATCTGTCATCTAGCAAAAAAACCAAGGTAACTTCAGTGCGAAACGAGGCCTGAAAGCAAACTGGACCAGGTTTAGTGTATCAATATTGTCCAATAACTCATAAATAATCTATCATCTTATCAGAAACTTTGCCCAAGCAATGATATCTGTAATAGGGCAATAGTTCTCAAGAATCTCCCAAGTATGGTCTTTAGAAAGGATTAAACCATCACTTTTTTTAGAGCAGAGAAGATACTCTAAGGCTTTCCTTTCTTTGGATCAATATCATCAGTTCCTGTCCGCTACATGTAATAAGTAAAATGGACAAAAATCAAATTTGCGGTTGATAGGTTGAACATATTGCTATCCTAAGTTCTCGGAAACTGAAACTGGTCCCCTAAAACATGAACTGTTGGTGATTTATATATCTCCCCAGATTCAGCTATAATAGATGCAAACTACTTCCTTAGCAAATTCACCACAGTGAAATTTTATCTTCTCTAACACTTTTCCAATAACTACTATCTTTCATCCCAGACAATAACACCATCTCAGAGCTCAGTTCTTTACACGATGGGGGTGCCAACTTCCGCCACTCTTACCGTCAGATGTGCAGGAAAGCACTTCCTCCTTCAGGAGACACGGGTGGTGATGCTGAGTACTGGACAGGGGTCGTTAGTGGAAGTGGTACATCCAGGCCACAAACACGTTCTGATTACAGGGAAGACAGAGGAAGCTTCAGAATGAGGTAAGTTCAAAGGGGGAAAGTGGAAACAAGGTTATTGCTTTTCAGTGTTTTTACTTTCCTGATTTATATGGATGAATAGCAAGTATGAACACAAGGCATTTAAAAGATCTGATATACTGCACTGGATATGATAAACATAAGGAAAGTCAATTTGATGTAGTGGTTAAAACACTGGATTAGAAACTGGGAGACTGTGATTGTTGGTCCTCCCTTAGGCATGAAAGGTAGTTGAGTGACTTGATTCCAATCACTCTCAGCTCAACAGCCTCACACTGCTGTTGTTATGAGGAATGAACATTATGTATACTATCTTGAGTTGTACAACAGAAAGGTGGGTTATATATATATTTAAAAATAATAAGTTACAAAGTAGTTTGCACAGTTGAAGCACAGTAAAAGAGCATTTTCTTATCTGGAAAATGTATTTGGTGCACTTTATCTTTTGGACATTATCAGATAGCATAAAACATCTAACATCCAAGCACAGCCTGTTTAGGGAGTCATACTGATATGTTAACCATTTGGATAGTGTTGATTAGATGCTGTATCACATTCAGCAAATCAGATTTGAGGTTTCTTTAAAATAATACATTTTATAAGATGTATTCCTTTGTACTCAGAAATAGAGCGATATTTGAAATGATTGACACAAAATAAAGTACAACTCCCTCTTTCTTTCTTTTTTGCCCTTCATAAAATATTGTACTACTGTTTCATTTAACTTGCAACCAACTATTGTGTCAGACCTTAGTCATATGTACTATTTACCAAATCATGATTTCTCCAACACATGCCTGGCTTAATAATAGTCGTTCTCTGACCCAGGCTATCACAACTTGGAGGAAAGATGAGATGTAAGAAATGACATATTTGGACTATTTTAGTTGATTGTTCATATCTGATCAATAAGATGCTAGCCACCAGTTTACAGGCTCATCTCTGTGATTTTAAGTCTGAGTCATTATTTGTACTGAGGTTAAAATGTATATCTTGGAGTCATGCATGTGGATTACCCTTATTGTACGTCTATTAGCTATAGTTCGACAGCTTAACAGATGATTTGCCTGGCAAAATGTCAAAATTCAATAGCTGCAAATCCAATTGAAAGGAGGAGGTGGTAGAAGATCTCTACTGGAGGTCTTTGGAGAATAACTTTTTCAGGTAACCTAGATATAGAAAACTATAGAGATAAAAAGGTTTGACTTTGTTTAGGTATATACTTTCCTCTGGTCTAGAAATAGGGCAATCAATTAAAAAAAAAGACTTTTCCACTGCTCACTTGGGTGCTGTCAGTACAAGTATAGGACTGCTATAATATTTCAAATGTTCATCTGGGAATTACTTACATTGGCTGAACAAGCAAGTAGGTTACATAATTAATCTAAAAAAATTAAACCAAAAATTTAAAACATCTCTTTTATCTCTTACCCAGCCAGCAGAGATCAAAGTCAGAAATGCTTTCAAGAAAGAATTTTTCTTTTGGAGTGCCAGCTGTCTCCATGGATGAATTAGCAGCCTTTGCTGAATCTTACAGTCAACAGGTCCATCGGACTGAGGCGAGTCAGGAGCCACGACACTTTGAGAGAACAGGATCAAGGGTGGGGTCAGTACAACATATAGAGAATTCAGATGATTTTTATGGCAAACGCAGGGGAGGAAATCGTGAACCAGTAACAGATCCAGACCGGGGATGGAAATATAGCCCACCCAGAAGACGTTTACATGAAGAGAAACACCTGCCTAGGCTAGTGTGTCGGACACCTGGAGGAAGTCAGAAGTATGATCACTCCTACCTCACTAGTGCTCTTGAAAGGAAATCACGAAGCTATGATGAGAATGGTGAACATAGTGAGACACCTTCAAAGCTCAGTTCGCAATCCAGCCAAAGGGGAGGATCTTACTATGCATGGTCACCACCATCAACTTACAAAGCAGAACAGCAGCAGCAACAACCTCCACAGCAAGAGGAAGGAGAAGATACTCTGCCACCTTACAGCGAGAGGGAATTGAGCCGGGGTTCTTCATACAAAAACAGAGAACAACCTAACTTCAATTCATCAGAGAAGAAAAGGAAAAAAGAGACCCCCAAAACAGTGAGGCTATGTTTGATACTCTTTCTCCAGGGGATAAATGGCAGAATGTTTATTGCACTTTGATAGAATAATTCGGAGATGTTGTGTACTCTGGATTTAATGTTAAAGTTGCAGTTGGGGGAAAAAAAAAACCTCGCTACTTTTTCTTTACATCAGGGAATATTGCATTTACAACTCAAAAATGTGGTCAGATGAAAAGGATAGTGCAAAATTCAGTATCATAGATTAAGCGAATATATGAGTGAAGCAAAATATGAATTCAGCAAGTGTGTGTCATGCGTAGAAGAGTATGCCATGAAGTCCATAGGAATTCTTAATTTCATCAGTAAAAAAGATCATTGTTTATTAATTTACACCTATAAGTTAAAGAATTTAATATTAGGCCACACAAAAGATTTATTGCCTTATTTCTGAATGGTTTAAAGAGTTGTGAATTTACAATGTGAATTTATCCATTGAACATTATAACTTTGGTAGTACAAGAATGATAGCAAAAAGAAAAGGATTCTGTATTAGAATCTGCTCAGATGGTTCTTCTGCTTGTTAGACTTTATTGGTTTCCATTGACAAGATTGTGGTGAACCAGGTTTGTGAAGAGTAAATCATGAAAGTGTATATCTTAAAAGTCTGAGTATACAGATAAACCTTGTTGGTGACTGCCTCGGACAGTGACCGTTCACAGTTATAATTTAGATGAAAAGTAATTTTGTGATCAATATCCACATTTATGAACTTCACAGCATCTGTTTCTCAGTCACATGCTTTCTATTATAGTTAGTTAGTACACGTTCTGTGCCTTACCACTTTTTTCCTCTCTCCCTCACTCACAAAGCAGAGTAATTGTCTATAACCAAACTTTTCACCACAGCACAGTGCATTGCTAAAAATGCTAACTACAAGTTAACAGGCTCAGTTCTCTGATCATCATTAGTTGATAGAACCATGCAACTCACAGCTGCTGCCTGAAACTGACAGGATTCAAATCTGTTTCACACTAAAGTCTTTTGTTTGTCTCCTGGGCAGCTACTGGCTGGCAGCTGGGAGTATGCTAGGCAAACAGCTGGGTCTACTATATTCCTTTTGATGTAGTACATTATGTGTCTGTTACTTTCTTGTATTCCCTTCCTCCCTATTGAATGTAAATGCAAATATCGATTTTGTTCTTGCTAATTATCCTAGTGTTGGGGAAGAACATTCCAAAAGACAGGAATTAGGCAAAAGGAGCTATTAAAGCATTTATATCCTTCAGACTCTGTAAAACATAAAAAACCCTAAAGTAATAACATAAAGACAGTTGGGGGTCACATGATTTTTCGCTTCCTGCTTGAGTCACCAGTTCCAATTGTGGTCCCTGAATGAGGACTACCTATATTAAATATAAACCTCAGGTTGAGTTTATGAGAAAACACATTAAAGGAATGAGGACAAACTCCACACACTTTTTAAAGGTTCCTATGAATTAATAAATAATTGAATCATAGCACCTTTCTTTTCATGATCATTATATATAATAAATCATTAAACAATGAAAAATCCATATTGATTACAATTAGCACATGGAAAAACTTCCAGATCAATTAGAACTTATTTAAAGGATGGTCTCTTGGCCTGAAATGGCCAAATAGCCACTTTGTTCTGTTCCTTGTTGTGTTTCTCATCTCTTCCTAGACTAACTCGGAAATGGATAAATTTTTTTTTTTGCTATTGGGCAAAAGATTTTTTTTTAAAGGAAGGCTGAATGCTTGGTTTCATTGAATTGTGTGTTCCATGTGAAAAGAAGCACGATTATTTTTTTCCTCTTTCACCTGGAATAAAAGAAAAAAGAGGAAAGGGAAATTAGCTTTACATATAGAACTAATTGAAGAGCCTTCCTTTTATTTTATTTCTTTATTTATCATATAAAGGCCCCTTGCTCTTGATGTGAAGTCTTTCTTCTTTTTGTCTGAAAGAATAATCACTTGAGCACACAATATTTCATGGTACTGACTATTGTATTGCTAGGTGATCATTATTTCAAAGGAGAAGGGGAAAAAATAGAGCCCCTTTGATGGAGTGTGTACATGGAAGAATTTTAACTCTAAAAAAGAGGAATACAAAATGAAAACGTTCTATTATTAGGGATATAATATAATAATATAATATAATATAATATAATATAATATAATATAATATAATATAATATAATATAATATAATATAATATAATATAATATAATATAATATATAATATATACTATGAAATATTTGATTCTTTTAATTTTTATGGTTTTGGGGGGGGAGGAAATGTTACACCTTATCTTTATTAATTGCTTTTATATATATTTGCTTCTCTTTTCTTGTTTTTTTCAGAATGAATTCCCAACCAGGATGTCCCTTGTGGTTTAATGTTGCTATAGAAGAGTTGTCTTAATGGACTGGGAAAACAAGCAAAGTCATGAAGTCTAAAAGAAATAAATGCTTTCATAGGGATTTGTATGTTTCATCTTGTGATCTGAGATCTTATCTTATAGGCAGTGTTAGCCAGCTGATCTCATGCAATTGATGGACTAACCCTTGGAAAGGAACAGCTCACTTGACCAAGAAATGAAACACAAAGGTTCTTTTGGCAAGTTTATCTTCGGATGTTTTTCTGCAAAGGTGCTGCCTTTATATTCTATCTTGAGCCCTCTCTGGAACATTTGCAGTTTTAGAGAAGCAACTTCAGTGTATAGTAGAATTTTTCCTTCTGATATGGCAGACTTTCCACATGCACTGGATCTTATGTTTCACTGGAAACATTGCCCCATTTCTCTGCTGAATCACAGACAGACGGAAATAGAGACTTCCTATAAATACTTAGTGATTGTTGTAATTTAAGAAATACTTTTCAAGAACATCTGGAAAAGGAAATCTTCATCCTTTTGGAAATGTACTGAAACAGAGATGTGGAGCATTGGACTATGAAGAACAAAACAGCAATGTATGACATCTGAAGTTTGTTTGTTATTGTTTTTTAATGTCCTGTTCATTCAGTTAATGGGAGATGCCAGTGAGATTAATGTTTTATTTTGAAAGTGAAACTCAATATATTTTGCTGTAATGAAAATGTTCCATGTTATTTCGCTATTGTCTGTTATGATGTATCAGCATTGCCTTACAGATAAAGTATAGCCGTAAAAGGCTTCAGCTGGGGTTAGTGAATGGTCCTATCATAAGATGAGTTCAAGCTCAGATTCTGCTGACAGTACTCTTTGGACAATTATCATTGTTTTAGAAAACCAATTGGAAGGAGATACTACAATTAGAAAGAATAAAATGAGATGCAAAGAAAATGCACATGCACACATACAGGAATACATACATACAGAGATAAAGTGAAAACAAAGAATATATCTATGTAAATCTCTTTCTCCATTTTTTATACTTATACACAGATCAGTATTACTATGTGATTGTTATTACTGGTTGAGACTATTCTAAAAGCAATAGAAAAAAAATCCTAAAAATAAAAACAGTTTGATAAACGTGACCATTAAGAACTACTTCATGGTTTTTTTAAAAAAAAAACATTAATAGTCTAACAATAAGTGGCAGCATTAGCAGCTTAAAGAGCCTTGAGTTTGGTTTCTTTTGTATCATGCTGAAGACATCAGGAAATTTTAAAAACACTAAACATTTTCCCATGCATATTTTTTAATAATAAAAAGGGTTTAAAATGTTAAAAAAAAACATGTCTTAAAATTTTGAAAGATTCCATGTGAAGACCCAGAAAATTTGAGACAGTTTCCAACCTTGTGAAACTTTATTATTTTTTTTATGATTAAACTAGCTTTATTTTGTAATATTGCAGAAGCCATGCTATCATTTTTCCTTCTGTTAACAAATAACACAAGGACCCCTTTTAACAAATAATAGCAATGATTCCTGCTTAGTTGATATCCTAATATAAACCATTTTATTTTATGTGATAACACTAGCAAGACAGTTTGATTTCTTTTCTGAAATGTTAGGTTTTTTTCTTGATATTAGAAAATATTTCAGAGTTGGCAGAAAACCAGTACATTGTTTCCTAGCTGTACATATCATTGGAAACTTCCTGTTAACATCTTTGCATAAAAAATTACATTGTATGTTCAGATGAAAAGAACAGACTGCTATAATCATTCACAAACATGTGCCCCCAGACATATTCAAGTCCAAGGTCAATCAGCATTTTGCTAGAACTCCAGAAATTTTAATTCATAATAATGGAAAGTCATCAGCATGGGGTAATTGAGCTACCCATATGTAAGTTTAGCCTATACAGTAGCTTTTTAGATGTAGAAGACTAATAAACAAGGGTCTCTCTTAGTGACAGTTGTGCTTTTTTGAATACTTATATGGCTGTGTCCTATTCATGGTGAATGAGATTGCATGAATTATCAGCATAATTGACCTATTGACTAGGTTCATATATCATAATAGACTAAGGCTGAGTTTAATTGTGATTTGATGGGCAAGTGAAAACTTTTTGTTGTCAATATACATGCATACTAATCCATAAATATACTAATACATACTGATATACATCAAACATACTAATCCATAAATCACTGTATACAAATCATACATTGCGCCAAAACCCAACAATACATTATGCTGTATCATGATGTGAAAACGATTGATACAATATGAATATACCTTGAAAGCCCCAGTACAGTGTTATTTTTTACTTAATAAAGTAATGAGGATAATGGATGCCTGTTAGACTTAAATGCCCTTTAGACCCAAATAGGATCTTACACATGCGTATTTTTCATTTGCATATTCAATATAAAGTAGTGGATTTTGTCTTCTGTAGCTGAGGGCTACTTGACATAGACCCAGTAAAACTCAAGGTTTTATGTGCTATCATTTGCAAGGCTTCACACCAGCAAGGCAATACATATTTACACATCAGGTTATCAACCTCATATTCAAAATCTTGTAGCAGAAGTTTCAGATATAACTTGGCTAAATAAATTGCTTTATTGTAGAGAAAATTTTAAATAAGTGCAGAAAATCTAATGAATACAAAAATGAAACCCTATATATAATTGTCTCAAGTGTTTAAATTCTATATCTTTCCATCCTGCCTTTTGAGTGTCAACAGACTTTGGCCATTCTTTTTCTGGACTTAAAAGTTAGAGATAACTACGAAAAGTTTATGTAACAATTCTGTCTGTCTACAAAATCAATGAAATCTTGCTAGTTTCAGCTCTTACACTAATCCACTTAGTATCTCTTGGTTGTAATGAAAAACAGGAAATACATTTTCTAAATCAGGGTCCCCAACTCCTAGGCTGTGGCTCACTATCAGGCCATGGCCTATTCACAACTGAGTGTGCACATGCACATGCGTGTTGGTCTTCTGTTTATGCAAGTTGAGCTGTGCACATGTGCATGCTGGTCGCTTGGCCTGGTTCCCCTTCCCTCTCCACTGGCCTGCCAAGCCACAAAGATTGGGGACCGCTATTCTAAATAATCAAGCCTTCATATACATATGTTCTGATCCTAATAAACTTGTAGAATCAGGGTTTGTAGAAGTAAAGTAGCATATGTTCTCCTCAAGATAATTTCATACAGACTGATTCAATTCAATAAGTCTTGTAAGGTGCTTGTAATTGTTGCTTAATTGCTGTTGTATATTCCATTCTTGAATGACAATATGGTTTTTGCTCACAAGTGGCCTAGTAATCAGAGAGGATACTCCTTGTGGACCACTCTAGTTCAGTGGTTCTTAATCTTTTTGAAAGAATCCCCCCCTTGAGCCATTGAGGAAGTTATCATCACCCCCCCTCCCCCAACATAGCCTTTCAATCACAACACAGGGAAATAATTCAATTTATGCAAACACATTTTTTGTTTTCTTTAAAATTGTCATCAGGACATATTGATGCAAATAACTTATTTCCAGTCTTTTTCCCATATCTCAACTGAAAAATTCTGATGCCACCCATCACTTTACTCCCAAACTTCGTGATACATATATTTCATTATTATCTTATTTATTCAAGACGCTTAAATGCAATGACCACTGAAAACAAAATTCAATTGCAAGAATATGTAATCCCCGAAAAAAACCCAGTAACATTTAATGATTTAATTACAAGTGAATTTTAAGACACAAAAAGAAATATAAAAAGGGCATAAGAACAAACCACAATGCAGGAACTAAGAATTTCAAGACGAAAACTCTGAAACTAAATTAAGATTCGAGGAAAATATATATTCATGCACACTGTAAAAAGGGTTAAAAAGACACAAAGAAAATTTTTACAGAAGGAAAGCAACAAAATTCAGAGCGACAAATTTAATGGGTAAAGTGATATAGGCTGCTGCGCAACGCGCATGAAAATGAGCGATGCGTATTCATATATGTACGGCGTTCTGTACTGAAGCTAGCTGGAGGAACATTTTAAAACACAGTTCAATCCACTAATAGCGAGCGATCTGATGTTTTGTACAACAGATATACGGTGATTCACTGTACGAAAAAAAAGTCTCAAAAGTGTCACCAAAACATCACTTCATCTACCCCGTATCACTCCCCTTCCATTCCTTCGCCCCCGCGTCACCCTTTTTCGTTCCATCGCCCCCCTGAAAAACAAAATCGCCCCCTGGGGGGCAATATCACCCAGGTTAAGAACCACTCTAGGGGACAGTTTCAGTCAGCTGTCCCTTAACTCTACCTTATTTTAATGAACCTCTGATACATTATTAAGGATTTTTCTAAAGCAGACTTAGTCGATGTCTTCCTCTCCATTATCTGATCTTGAGATTACTGGTGTTTCCCCTTCTCCAACATCTTGGCTAGGGGAGTCCTTTGCCTGAGTCAAATCTCCACTGTGCTGTTTTTACTGGTAACATGGAAACAGTTGTACATTCTCAACAAAGGCTTCTATTATTGAGTTGTCAGAGAACCTTGAAAGGAAATTGCCTTTGGGAGATGACTGCTGATAAGCTCAGCTTGATACTGAAGGAAAAAAAATGTCTTTGCCTTAATCACATTGATTTGTGGTCCAGCATTAGGAAGGTTGATTTAATTCAAAACTAGCTAATCACCCTCAAATATTATTTCAGGCTTGAAGTTGGCAGCTAAATGGAGTGTGATGTATACAAACCTGTAAGATTATATCTTAACTGTATTTAATAAATATATGTAGCCACCAACTTTAAGCTAAATATCACACGCTCAATATTTAAAACATTTCAGAAAATTTCAAAATAAACATATCTATCTAATGCCTGTGTGGACAATCTGGCTGCGACATCCTTCATCCCACTGATCACTGATTGACATTTATCTGAAAAGATAGTCATCTGATACTATACGTAATTGTGCCAGATGGACTCGCATTACAATACATTTACACTGGCTTTGCTTTCATCTCTTCAGTTCCTGAAAAGTTAGCTGTGTAATGCTGAGAACAAAAATAATTACTTCCTGACCTTCCTGGCTGTAGAAAGTATTGGAAAAGCAAACATCCCTTCACATACATGGTGCACCAAAGAGAAACATATTAACTTCTTACAAACATACATGCATATCATCCATGAATGTATATTATTTGCTTTTCTCTGGCCATGTTTTAAAAGGGAAATTAGATGTCTACCTCCTATGATGTAGACTTGCAAAGCCATCAGAATAATAATAAAAAATGCCTAAGTTGGCTGAAACTTGGAGATTCCTTCTAATGATAGAAAGCTTGCTTATTCTCATTTAAAGGAATTGCATTGCAAAATGAAAGAAACCCAACCATTTTCAGTTTCAAGCAAACAAACTTCTCTAATTTCTCAAAAGCAGATGCCATTGTGCAGTTACATAGATCCGCATCCCACAACTCTGCATCCAACCCCACCCCATCCAATCCAACATCACTCAAAACTGGGCACGCACACCCCAACTACCTCTACTCCAACCACAACTGGCCTTAAATGCAAGCTACTCAATGCAAGAAGCCTTGTAAATAAAATACCTGAATTTCTCCTCTTACTAAATACGGCTAAATTCGATATTATATTTGTCTGTGAAACATGGCTCAATGCATCTCTCCCTGACTCCATTGCCACAGCAATAGACTATCATGTTTACCAATCAGATCATGAAATCCATAGAGGAGGTGGTTGCTATCTTCTATAAAAAGTTACTATCTAAAAGTTACTCAGGAGCTTTCTATTTCTGAGACCATCGTCTGTGAACTGTCCTTAAATATCACATTTTGGTTCTTACTATGTTACAGAGCCCCTGATTATCATATCGAACATGCAAAGCTAGTTTTAACTTTAACTTTCAGAGGGGTCTTGTGAAAATTCCTCAATGAACACGAGACACCTTTTACTCTGTAAATTTGGGCATATGCATTTTACAATATATTCTTGATATCAGCACCATCTTGTGGTCATGCATTAAAGATTCACTAATGTTATTGCCTGAAAAGGCAATCATACTGACAACAGCAAGTAAATCCTATTGAAATAAATAGGAAACACATGGAACCAGATAACAAAAATCTTTTTATTGCTTGCTAGGGGTAAAATGTGCAGTAAATTCCTATTTGCCATCAAAGGTCACAATGTTGTTCTTAAAAGCTGAGAAAATTATTACATTTTCTAGAGTAGAACAGAAAATGCACTGATCACGTTACCTAGTTTGGTAATGAAACATCTGCAAGAAACAACTAAGCTCAGTCAGTACTAGAAATTCAGTTGTTTCAGTGCTAGGGTAAACATTCCACTGTAAATTAGTTTAAATCATTACATTTAGTTTGAAAGAATATCAAGTGGAAAATAAAAAATAATATTGAAGATTGGTATTCATGAATGATATTTTGTATAATGTACATTAGACAATCAGATAATTGGCATTATCTTGCTGAGTTTTATACTCCTTCCATATTAATTCTTGTACCAGAAAACTTTTATGTCAGAATCTCTCAAATCAAATGCTGAGCTGGCTAAATTAATACACTCCTTACATTAACAAGGATTAACAAGGATT